GGCAAGGACAGGACTTTTCCAAGTGTGGGACCCTGTGTGACCACACAAGTCTCAGAGCCACAAAGCCAGAGTTTGAGGTGTCAGCCATCCAGAAAAGATTTGAGTAAACTCAATCCCATCACACTAACAGCATGGGAGCCACTTGTGCCCCCAGCGCAGAAACCCACTTGCTATCCTAGGTTGCCATGCAAACAGAGCAAAACAGCTATATCCTCTGGGTAACAGGAGACGTCCAACACCCGGTATCCTGGCTCCCATAAACCAGATGTCTCATATGACAAGTTACAGATCATGGTGCGCCCTAAGGAAAATCCAAATTGCTTGATTCTCCTCATTGCACAAAGGGGAATTCCACATTGGCTGTCCAGAGATCAGCCCTTCCGCTGTGGTTTGGTGTCTGCCTCATCTGCCTGCCACGATCTTCGGAGCGGCACCCAGTCGGGTTTGCATACACTTTGCTTTACAGGGCCAAGGGGTCGGCCCCAGCTCAGCTCCTTCAACTCACCAGTCCTTTATTATAAAGCACCCCCGGCACAAGACCAAAGTCAAAGGAGCCTGGAACAGGACTAGGGCACAGATCCCTGCCCCTTGGGCCCCCGCCTGGCCTCGCTTGGGGGTGTGATGCCAGACTTGGGTTGACCAGGCCTGTTGCAGCACAGACACTGAGGAAGTCTCTGACTGGGGAGCTACGGTTATTCAAGAGGATACTCGAAATTTCAAGCTGGGGAACTATTTGTATGCACTAGATGTCCTAGATAAGAAGAAATGAAAGTCCCACTATCAGCCATGAAGTAGTAACTCCTAATGGGTGAGCAGGAGCCAGTCCCCAAGGGGATTCTTCATCAGGACAGTGATCCCATTGCCCTAAGAAGCCACCATTCCACCTTCTCTGCCTGCAAAATGAACCTGTCTGTTCCCTCCTAGATGACCCTATTAGCAGGTAAACTGGCTGAACCCTGAGTCCAGCAAGCCCAGATTCCTTAGCCTTCCTTTCGAAGATCCAGTGCAGCCCACAGGACTTTCCTCACATTTGGGTCTGAGTTGTGAAATTGCTCAAGGGGCAGGGCAACTATACCAAGAAGGCTGTCATTTTGCTGAGGGTAGATGGGAGGTGACTTCTTATAAGATCTAGTGTACTATGAATAAGACCCTCCAAACTGTATTCACACACACACACACACACACACACACACACACACACTGGCAGTTCTTATCTACCTAGACTCCTCTGCAACTAAACCAGTGAAACTCACTGAGTGGAACTCTACAGAAACCATATTAGGACGTCCTGGGCTGATATGCCTTTAGACCTTTGGACTTTACCCATGCCCCTTCTCCCTGACATCCTGCAGCAATGAACAGCAGAGCAGGGAGGCAGGGAAAGCGGCTTGTGGGTGGCATGTGAGAGGTGTCCCGGCCTCGGACTATCTGCCTCTGGACTTCTTGTTGGGTGAGACAAAAAAAATAATAATATCCCTTGCTTTTTTAAGCCATGCTTATTTAGTCAGATTTTCTCTTTTTGCAGCTGAATGCCAAAATTAGGGAATATTTTAGAGCAGGGGTGCAAGAGAAGAAATCTTTTCCCCTCCCACGACCTTCCTCTTATTTTCCAGTCAGCCCCCACTGAAAAATTCATTTAAATTCAATTTAATAAGCATGTATTAGATACCCCCTGTGCATCTGGACTTGAGGGAAGTTTAGACTCAGACCATTTAACCTCAAGGAGCTCACAATTTGCTGAGTGGCATTTGTACCCTCTTGAAATCCTCAAGATCAAACAGGGCCCAGACTGACACTCCTTCCATCCACAGGTCCTGCTCTCTGGCTCTCTTCCCTACACGGGCTCTTCCCTTGGACTAAAACCCAAACTCACATCTCCTAACATGCAGATTGTCAACATTTATGGCTCAGAGGTGACCTACGAGTCTGGGACTTATGGACCCTAAGGACTTTTCTAATAAAGAGATTATCTTCACAGCCTTGAGAAATAGGATGACTCCTATTTTTGTTGTTCTCCTTGTTTTGCCAGTATGAAAGAAGAGGGTCTCAATTTTTCCCAAAATGTTCACCCCTATTCTCTGGTATCAGCTTGATATCAATCCGGAGATGTGTTGATAGGAAACATATTGTTATCTCTATTTGTTAATTAAGAAAATGCATCACAAAATTTGCCTATGGTTATCTCTGACCAACTAGATTCTGAAATTTTGAGATAAGAGAGGACAATGATTTCAAATCAATGGGGAAAGCATCAACTATTCAACAAATGGCTTATGGAGTAAAGAAAGATAGAAATGATTTTTGCCCACTTGCCTCCTCCATGCCATCTTGTGCATGAAGGTACATATTGTATATACATATATGTACATATATATATCTCAAATCACAAGAAAGTGGAAGAGAAGCTCCTTGCCTCCCTAAGTTGCTCCCCCATCACTCTGAGTCCTTGCCTATATCCAGACCAGCCTCCTTAGCATTCTTCCTCCAGCCCTAGCCAAGGCTCCCAGGAAACTATGCTATTCTCATCCTAATATAATAAAGAGGAAGCTGTGTACCTGGCACCTACCATGGGCCAGACCCTGTGCTCAACACAAGGTATACACAGGATAACAAAACAACATCCTGCTTCAGAGAGCTTACAGCTGATGGGGGGAGACAAGGTGTGGACATGGATGACAGCTGTAGGCTTGTAGGTTTAGTAGTGGAGGAAAGCACAGGGCATGGTGGCAAACAAAAGTTAGAGTGGTCCATGCTGCCTGCATTGAGGAGAACCTCAGAGCCTTGCCCTTGTTCAGGTCCTCCGCCCTAACTGCTCTGCTACATTAAATCTGCACTTGGAACACTCAGCTCAGAGAGGGGTCAGCCTAATGGGCTAAAGCAGACCCAGACCAGAAAACTCAGGAACCAAGAGCAAAGAAGAGAAGAAAGGATGCAAGACCCAGCTCCTGGCTCCTCTGTTTCCTGGTTATAAAATGAAGTCCTCCTAAGCCCAGTTCACATCTGGCAGGAGAAGCAATTCCTGTGTTAGCACCACTCCTATTTCCAAAAGGCTCTTTCTCCCTTCATGACTCTTGGGTTTCTATATTAACACTCCCCAAAGGATTGAGAGGAGAGGTTGCAGTCCCCGATTCTGGCTTACAAGGTACAATTACAGAGTGGTCCCCCTCGCTTCTCCCTCCTACTCATTCCATCCTGACCTTAGTGTGTCCACTACACTTGTCTAAAACAGCTCCTTCTCTGATGTGGCAGGCTCAGAACCCAGCGCCATTCAAGGTGTCCCAGTACTGATGCAGGGGGGCAAGGAAATAACAGAAATCGGGAGATGTCCTACAACCTGGTCCATTTGTTAGTTCCCCAAGCTCCATCCCATGCGAGGCCCAAGGCCATACTGTTGCCTCCCAGGACAAATAGAAAACAGACACAAAGAAATCAAGGGACATGCCCCGGATTTGAAGAGGGACAGAACCAGGACAGAGTCCAGGCCTTCAGCACTCAATCCCAGGTCAGTGTTCTCCCCATTATTGTCTTCACTGGTGGAAGAAGCCCCTGTGGTAGCAGGAGGTCAGGGCACACAAGACCCCCAGAGACTTCCCAGAGACCTGAAGAAGTATGTCACTGCCCCCATCTTTCCTAACTAGAGAGAGAGTAACGTGCCTCATTACATCTGGCCACTCTGCCCCTCGCCCCCCGCCCCCCCCGCCCAACACATGCACATACATTCACATGTCCAAATCCAAGACAATAAAGGCTTCTTTGGGAAAGGAGAGAAGAAATAGGTAAAAGAAAAGAAAGGGGTCTGCAAGCCAGCCTTCACGGAGTCCTCACTTATTTTCTGTGTTATTTCTACTTCTTCCTCCCCATCTTTCAAGCTTCAGTCTCCAGCCATAGAAGCTATAACTAAAATAGCTTCTATGAAAGCTATTAGTGGGTGACTGAGGGTGAAGATGCTGCCAACACCCTCTGGCAGGGAAACATAAATTCCCCCTGCTAAGAGCAGTCCAGAACCTGAAAGGCTGCCAGCTGGGGAAGTGCCATGCAGCCTCCAATCCAATCTTTTCATTCCATACACTGGGAAGAGTGCAGAGCAGAGTAAGGAGCATGGATGGTGCCAGTGTCGGGCCAGCCTGGGTACAAACTCTGGCCCTCTCACTTAGCACTCATGTAACTTTGTGCTGGTTACTTAACATCTCTGGCCCCAGCCTGCTCGCTAGAAAATGGAGGTAATAAGGGTCATGCTGACTGGTAGTTACCAAACTCATGATAGGAGTGAACTACTCTTACTTACTTCCCCACAAGTCCTGGGACAGCCGAGGAGGTGGACATGTGGTCCCAAGTGTCTCAGAGAACCCAGAGCCAGAGAAGAAGCCTGGAGCTCATCCCACATTCCTTTCCATCCTGTGGGAAGTCAACATCTTCAAGGGGCAGCCTTGGAACAGAAAATGAGAGAAGCAGAAGGCAGCTTTCACTCAGGAAATCTAAGGCCCTAAGAGTTGAGGTGACTCCCTAATTCAGCAAGGAGAAGCCCTGAGTATTCAACTCAGGTTAAAAAAGGGATCCAATTATTTCTCAACCCCCGTATACTCTGGAATGGCCAATTTGTCCACGTCACTATGACCTAGGAGCACGTGAAGGGAACCCACAACTGTGGGCTTCTGCGCACAGAACAGCTGTCCATCCCAGGAAATCAACTTTTTTTTATTAAGAGAAGCTGAAAAATTATTTTAAAAGAAGTAGCTAATTCTAAATATAGCTGTAGTGCAGAAGTTCTTCAATCATCCTTTTTGCTTACGATGCAAAAAATTAGCACTTAACGAAGTTCATCGAATGCAAAGAGTGGTCTACGGAAGGGAGGAGGAGCTTTCGTCAGGAAACATGTGGGTTTTTTTTTTATGAATGGGGACAATATAAAAGGGGACACAGAAGGTGAAGGTCTACACACCAGGGCCTTGCTCTTGCAAAACCAAACCACAAGGCCTACTCACAGGAGGCAGAGCACCACCATGCCCAGCTCAGCACTTATCTGTTGCCTGGTCTTCCTGGCCGGCGTGGGTGCCAGCCCAGACCAGAGCAGGCTATCTGAGAACAACTGCAGTGACTTCCCAGCCAACCTGCCCAATATGCTTCGAGAACTCCGCACTGCCTTCAGCAGGGTGAAGACTTTCTTTGTGAGTATGATGCCTCCTGTCCTTCCTCCCTGAGACCACCTGAACTAGGCATTCTGCTAGAGCTGCAAGATCACTCCTTCCTGTTCTCTTCCGTCCCCAGCACTCATTGCCCCCAAAGTTAAATTCTTAGAGACTCCCCCAGTCAAGCTATGGGTTCAAAGAGTTAAGCTAAGCCCAGATGATGCACCGAATGTGCAGGTTAAAAGCTGCCTACAGGAAAAAGCACTCTCTCTCTCTCCTGTGCTCAGAAACTTTTTACAAGATTCTGCTGGAGGTCAATGCTTTGTTTTCTGGGAGAAATCACAAAGTGGGTGACTGAGGGTGAAGATGCTGCCAACACCCTCTGGCAGGGAAACATAAATTCCCCCTGCTAAGAGCAGTCCAGAACCTGAAAGGCTGCCAGCTGGGGAAGTGCCATGCAGGGGGGATCCTGCGTGAGGAGCTGCCTCCCATTCCCAGAGAGCCCAGAAAGCTGCAGCCAGCGAGAACAGGACAGGGGTGGGGGCGGGGAGACAGGAGAGAGCGCTGAGAGGCTGACATGGGTGGTTTCTTCAAACCCAATGTGTCTGCAGGAGGAGGACCAGGACCAAGTTGAGCTTCTGTCTTGTCTTCAAAATTGGGCAGATTGTTTTAAGTAATTTGATCCCAAGGGGAAGGACCTGATTTAACTAAGGGTTCCAGTACTGAGAATGCCTCATTTTGAAAACGCTCCAGTTTTGGGCCAGGACTACATTGATTAAATATCAAAAAGTCTATAATAAAGGACATTCATTTCAGGTATTTCTCCAAACCTCAGCTTTATTCTCATTTTGTTCTTCTTGCAGCAAATGAATGACCAGCTGGACAGCATGCTGTTGAATGGGTCCTTGCTGGAAGACTTTAAGGTGAGAGCCGGGTGGGTGGGTGAGTGAGTGTGATCCTTGACTAGGAGAAGTGAGGCTCTGCCTCACACCCGCAGGGAGCTGGGTCTGCTTTCTTCTCTTGAAAAGGAGAAGTGGAAAGATCTTAACTCAGCATAAGGCCAACCAGAGGGTTACAAAGGGCTCAGTCCTGGGGGGAGGTGGCTAAAGAGAGGTCCTTGGGGACAAAGCCATGCTCTCCAGCTAGTGGCAGCAGCCCTTTCTCCCATTCACCCCCACCTCCACCCCATGCTTCTGCCCTTAGGGTTACCTGGGTTGCCAAGCCTTGTCAGAGATGATCCAGTTTTACCTGGAAGAGGTGATGCCCCAGGCTGAGAGCCAGGGCCCAGACATCAAGGAGCACGTGAACTCCCTCGGGGAAAAGCTGAAGACACTCAGGCTGAGGCTGCGGCGCTGTGTGAGTAGCAGGCTTGTTCTCTTCCTTTCGGCTTTTCAGAAACTCCAGAACACTGCCTCATCCCCTCATGCCACTCACACCCAGGCACAGGCACGCAGAGCGGCAGGAGCCCGCTCATTTCTCTCTGAGCAGGGGGTGGGGTGACTGCTAGGCATTTACATGTGAAGATTTGCAAATAGCTTTCCTGTTATTTGTGAGTCATTTGTGGGTTATTAACTGCTCCCCTGTCTCTTTATGAAAGGGGCCCAGAGCTTTCGTCAGGGCTCCCTTGTCCCTTGAGACCTAAGTAAGCCCTGGCTCCAGTGGGAGGAGACAGGAGGTGAGGATACGAGGGGAAGGAAACTCCACTTCCTTCTTATTCTGAACCTTTTGAAAGCAGACTGACAGGATTTTCCTGGGTTCTTTAGAAGGGCCCTGAGGTTAGTGTCTGTGAACAGGATAATTAATCTGTTTCTCCAACTGAAATGATACCGTCATCAGTGGTTTCCTTGGTTCTCTTGCAAATAATGGAAGATCAGTAGATTTGGGTCTCTATTCGTAGGATGGAACTATCAAAGTGTTCTGTCCTCATAGCTGAGAGCGTGTCTCTATTTCTCAGGGACTTAGAAATGGTCTGCAGTTCTGGGACTGAGGGGAGGGACAGGACAGAGAAGCAGGAAAGGACAAAAAGGCTGGCTCAGCATCTAGGCAGCACTGTGCACGGCAGGGGAGGAATCTCCGAGACCAGGGCTTTCAGCAAGCCTTGCAAACATTTCAGACTGGCTTTCTGACTGGCTCCTGGGCTATGTTTCTTCTCTGTCTGGAGGGGAAGAATGAGAGGTAGGGTTGGCCAGGGGAAGGCATTCAGGATGAGTTTGGCCCCTACTTCTTTCCACCAGCTTTCCCCCCACATGCTATGGACTCAGGAGCTGGGAGCCAGAATCTTTAACACTTTCTCTTTTCTTCCACAGCATCGCTTTCTGCCCTGTGAAAACAAGAGCAAAGCAGTGGAACAAGTGAAGAGTGCCTTTAGTAAGGTGAGCTTGCATGGTGGCAGAGAGGGTTTGGGGAATAGGACCTCTGACCACTCCCCAAGGGGCAGAGGTTGGCAGATGCTAAGTTGTCCCCATCCTTCGTTGGGAGGGACTGTGGGAACCTAACAGATGGTGTGACCTCCTCGGCCAGTGAGGATCTGCCGCCTCGGTTATATTTGTTTTCTGTGAAGTCTCTTTGGGGGTTTCTAAATGACTGCTCCCCGCCTTTGCAGGCCTGTGGGTTGAGCCAGCCAACCAGCCTGTGAACACAGTGAGCTAGGTGCTGGGGAGAGTGACAAAGGAAACAGAAAGTAGCTTGTTGGGAATCCAGGCCGAAGCCACACGTGCAGGAAGCTGACACGTGAATGTGCACACACAAACATACCCAGGGGTTCACCCTAGACTCCTCAAAACTCAGGCAGAGCAGGAAGCAGGATCCTCACTTATCTAGAGTTGGTCCATGCCCACTTTCCATCTGCCACTCACTACTCCCAAGGTACCTGAAAATGGCAACTCTCAAGCCAAATGGGGTTTCACACTTCCAACTGTTCGTGAACATTTAAATCCCATTTCCCAGAAGTCTGTGGCCTGTGCCTTCTTTGGTGTCTGGGGACAGACCCTGGGCAGGGGTCCAACATCAGGGCACATGAATCCCCTGACACAGGCCGGAACAGCTGGGCGAGTCCTGCTCAATCTGTTGGTGGAAGAGAATAAACCTAAAAGAAGCTCCCTTCTCTCCTTTCTCACTGTCCTGTTTTCAGAGTGGTTCCTCTAAATGTTTTTTCATCGAATTCTGAATAAGCATCATGTGAGCACATGACTTTTAAAATTGTTGAAAAGGCACTGTTTTGAAGACTGTGCTTTGCAGACTGGATATTCCTCTTGCCGCCCACTGCTAGCCATGCCTCGCATCAATGCATAGCTTTTCTCATGGCAGCTGGACATATCCTCAGGTTCTCTGGGTCCATCCTTCATCTCCCAACTTGAGGGGTCGAGTGCAGCTTCTGGGCCCCAGGACCACAGCATCCAAGTGAGAGGCCAACTTTATTTATTCACTCAGATTGCGTTTTCACTAAACATTTCTTATCTCCCCACACAGCTCGAAAAGAAAGGAGTCTACAAAGCCATGAGTGAGTTTGACATCTTCATCAACTACATAGAAGTCTACATGACAATGAAGATGAAAAAATGAAACATCCTAAGGAACAAAACATCCAGGATGATGACTCTACTGGACTCTTAGGAATAAATTAAAGATCTCCAGAATCGGATCCAGGGTTCCAGGAGAGATGGACCAGCTCCTTGGAGAACCCCAGAGTACCTCTCTCCTAGAATATTTATTACCTCTGATACCTCAACTCCCACTTCTATTTATTTCTGAGCTTCTCTGTGAACTATTTAGAAAGAAGCCCAATATTATAATTTTTTCAATATTTATTATTTTCACCTGTGTTTAAGCTGTTTCCGTAGGGTAACACCTTATGGTATTTGAGTGTTTTAAGAGAAATTGTAAGTTATATAATGAAAAAAAATGTTTCTTGGGAAGCCAACAGAAGCTTCCATTCTGAGCCTGACCATATTTTGTAGCTGTTGAGCTGTTTTCCCTGACCTCCCTCTAATTTCTTTTGTCCCTGGGCCTGGGGCTCCTGGAGTGTTATAAAGATCTCCTCCTCTTAGGAAGAGAAACTAGAGAGCCCTTTGGTGACTACTATCCCAGTGGCTCAAAGGGATTTCCCTGACCTCATTCCCCAACCACTTCATTCTTGAAAGCTGTGGTCAGCTTGTTATTTATAACAACCTAAAATTGGTTCTAATAGAACTCAGTTTTAACTAGAAGCAGTTCAATTCCTCTGGGAATGTTACATTGTTTGTCTGCCTTTGTAGCAGATTTTAATGTTGAATAAATAAATGGGTTTTATTAAAATCATGTTATGGTGTCAGTTGATTTGTCTGACTAAAATTATTCCCTCAAAGCATCCAAGATAGAAGAGAGTAGATGAGTGAGTTCTGTGTTCCAGAGTGAGATGCAACTACCCTCTCCCAGGAAGAGGGAAGGCTCCAAATCCAAGCAGGGGTTGGCGGGGGATAGTTTCCCTTCAATAGCCAATATCAAAGACCACCATAGTCTTTCCATAAACTCAACCCTTGAAGGAATTACCCTTAAATCCTCAAAGAGCATGCTGATTTTCAAGGCTAAGGACAAATTGGAAGAATAAGCAGAGGAAGTTTTTTGGTGTTCTTTGCTTCTTCAAGCACCCAAATTCCAGGCACGAACACTCAGTTGCCTGGGTTGTCGGAAGGACTGAGGTGGAGTGCTCTCAGGGCTGCAGCACTTGGAGATGGCCCCAGGGCATACAGCTGGTTGTGACTGGTCTTCACAACCACAAGTGTCCACAGAATCCTCCCTGAGCTGAGGCAACAGGCTGGCCCAACAGAGTAGAACATAAGCAAATTAGCCCACTCAATAAAAAACCCCGGGATTCAAGCTGCTGCCACTCTTTGAGCCATCAGACAAAGACAAGATTGGCTCCCGACTGGGATCTGCTGAGGCAGATATGGCAGCTGGGGAAGCCCTGCTCAAAGCCCAGTAGCTTGGAGGGGCAAAGGGAAAAGAATGGGCTGAGTAAACACCTCACGCTCTGCCCAGGCAGCCCCGGTTCTAGGGGATGGTAAGAGCTGACTGGCTGTGGTCAGTTTTTCAGTAAGACCTGACTCACTTCGGTTAAATTAACCATAGGAAGGAAGTGGGGAGGATCAAAGCTGAAATTCTGAGATGAAAGGTTAGGCTTAAGAATGGAAGCTAGCAGAAGAAAATGAGAGAAGGAATGACGTAGTCTTCACTAAGGTTCTCCTTACTGAAATGGAGAAGGAGCTATAAGGCCCTCAGCAGAGAAGGTTCAGGCATGTAGGGCTGTCTTCCAGGCAGCGCACACTAACTCAGATTTGAGGTTGGCACCTCATGTGAGGGAAGTGGGCATCTGAAGCCAAAAGACAGAAACCCACCTGAGGAAGCCACACAGCTAATCAGGTGTTGACAACTGCAATTTGAGCTTATTTTGAGCTAGTCAGTACTAGACATATACAGGGTCTGGCAGAAGTAAGGCCTGATTGAGTGTGGTTGGTAGGGTAATATGGGTGCAATAATTTATACTTTTAATTTGAACATTTCATCTAAAATGTCATATGGTATGCTCAAGTGGTGTGATATTGTTATATTACAGAATTACATGCTTATGATGTTGTAATAAAATGGTTTTATAATATAAAGGGGCTTTATTTGTGCCAGACCTTGTATATATCAGGCTTTGTTGCTATTTTCCATAAGAAGAAACTGACTCAGAAATGTTGATATGGCTTGACCACATGGGTAGTGGGGAGAATGGAGAACTGGGCATAGTATTAATTATTTATTGCTGTCCCCAAAATGTAGCAGCCTGAAACAAAAAACATTTATTACCTCAGTTTCTATAGGTCAGGAATCTGAAAGTGACAACCAGGGGTTCTGGCTCAGGCTCTCTGAGTCTACAGTCAAAATGGCAGCCAGGGCTGCCATCCCTGGGGCTGGACAAGTCCCTTGCAAGGTGGCACACTCACGTGGCTATTGACAGGAGGCCTCAGGTCCTCACTGGCTATTGGCTGGTAGCCTTGGTTCCTCACTACATGGACTTTTACCTAGGGCTGCCTGCACATCTTCACAGCACGGCAGCTGTCTTCCCCAGAGCCCATGACCTGAAAGACAGACAGCAAGGAGATAGTCATAGTGTCCTTCAAACCTAATCTCAGAAATCTCACACCATCGCATCTGCTACATTCTATTTGTTAGAAGTGAATTGGTAAGTGTAGCCCTTATTCAAGAGGGAAAAATGTAGATTCCACATCTTGAGGGGAAGAATATCAAAGAATTTGTAGACATATTTTTATTTTTATTTTTTATGTAAAAACAATCTTTATTAAAGATAGGTAACCATTCAAATAAGCTATTACCGATAATAAGGAATTGAGGGTGGGTAGCTGTTTAAAAACCAGTTTTATAGAGATGCTGCCACTTAGAGAATGACTAGTGAATTAATATGTACCTAAAATAGCAGCCATATCATCTGAAACTGCTTTAGCTAGTTGTACTTAAATTCTACATTCCTGACAATTTTTTTAAAACAATGCCTTAAGTGATCTGACTGGGGTTGGGGAGACCCAAATCCTGCCCTGCTACATAGTAAAGATTACCACTAATTATTTCACAATCCTCTACATCCACCCCCTTTGAAATCTAGGCAGGTTCTAGGACCATCAGAAGAACTTACAGTGTTCAGACCCAGGCTGAGTTTGCAGCTTCCACTTCCTATCTCTTTGAACCACTTTCTCCATAACCCAGCTACCATTGTGTGATGATGCTCCAATAGCCTTTGGAGAAGACTCTGTGGAGAGGAACTGAGGCTGCCAGCCAACAGCCAGTACTAACATAAAGTGGCTCCTTCCGCCCCCATAAAGGCTGAATGAAATAGAGATGAGCTATCCCTACCACGTGCTCCCAAACTGCAGATTCAAGAGTAAGATAAATGATTACTGGAACACACCTCAAACTTTAATTCAAGGTATTCTAAGATTTAAATTTCAAAGAGCAGCGAAAGAAGTAATAATTATATATTTTGAGCATTTACTATGTGATTAAGGTTTACACATCCTTATTCCCTACAACAACCTTATTGGGATTATTATTTCCTCTACTTTATAGATGAGGCAATTATAGTCATTGCTCAAGTTCATGTAATAGGAGGGTAATATTCAAAACCAGATCTAATTCCAAGATGCATGTTTAGGAGGAAAATGGGAATGAAAGAAATTCCAAGCTAATGCTAGGGACTCCAATCCTTACAACTACAGTATGAATTAGAAAATATGTCAATTAAAAGTATGTCCTGAGGGTGTCCCAATATTGCTTAGCATAACTTTCAAAATTAGCACTAATATTTTTTGAAGTATAGTATTCAGAAAACATTTCCTGAGTATTTACAACTTTATGATGTGTAGACATATTCTGAAATGACTACACCCTTCTCAGAATTTAGAAGAAATAGCTCTGTCCTAGGTCACGGGAAGTGGAAGAATAGGTAGGCATCAGGGAGCACGGAGGAGTCATCATCATAGACACTGCCCTTCTTCAGTTCTCTCTCATTGGCTCCGTCTAATGTTGTTTACTGGTTCTGAGCCTCAGTTTCTCATCTGGAAAACTAGCAAAACTTCTTTTCCAGGTGTTATGGGCTGAATGTTTGTGTGCCCTCAAAAGTTATATGTTGAAGTACCAACCCCCAATGCAATATTTGGAGGTGGAGCCTTTTAGAGGTACTTAGGGTTAGATGAGGCCATGACAGTGGGACCTCATGATGGGATCACTGTCCATATAAGGAGAGACACCAGAGAGCTCTTTCTCTCTCTATTTCTCTCCTACATGCACACAATAAAGAAGTCTCATGAACACACAGCAAGATGGAGGTACATATAAGCCAAAAGAAGAGGCCTCAGAATGAAGCCTACCTTACCAGCTCCTTGATATTGGACTTTCAGCCTCCAGAACTGTGAGAAAATAAATTTATATTATTTAAGTGGCCCAGTCTATAGTATTTTGTTATGGCAGCCTGAGCTGACTAATATACCAGGTTCGATATAAGGGTCAAATGGAATGTCAGTTATGAAGGTATATATGTATTTTGTATAGAAAGTATAGAGATGAAGTTTAAATGGGGATTTTTGTTCTTTTTTTGCAATAAGCCTTCACTCTCTAGGAGCAATCACCTCATTTCTATCCATCCATCCATCCCCTCATACCAGAGTTTGGATAACAGTGGAAAATGGGAGTCTGTTTGTCCGTGGCCCCAGCTGCAGAGGTGAGGAGGGTGGGAGCAGTGAGAGAAGTTTCCAGGATCTATGATGACAATGGGGTGACCCTATCTGTCCACTGACAGAAATTAGACAGGTAAAAAAGCTCCACGCTGGGAGTGAGGTGCAATCAGGAAGGAAGGGGATGAGATCAGAAATGAAAAAAAAAGAGGAAAGAAGAGCACGACTTGATAGCAGAAGGTGCCCACTCTAAGGCATATTTCCCCTAAGACACTTGTTATTAGTGGATTTAATTGTGGAAAATGGGGACCAGCTTTAGGCCTGGGGTGGTTTAGGGAAAAGCAGAAATATCACTCCAAGGAAAGAAGAGCTGGATCATAAGGATGAATACACACAAAGGCAAGAAGTCCTTTGAACTTTCAAAAGCTGCAGAACTGGCCACAGAATGAATCACTCAACTCTGTATCTCTGAGCGGTTCACGGGTCCCAGGTGACATGTGTCCAATTTTTCGGTACTCCTTTTATGCACTAACTCACTTGATGACTTTGGAAAATTTCCTTACCTTGTCTGGGCTTCAATTTCCTCACTAATAAAATAAGGAAGTAGACCTGGATTAGTGGTTTCCAACTAAGGTTGATACAGGTTCTTGAAGGTACTCATGGTGAAAAGAGTATTGTCTTTGAATAATTTCCAAAATTTGAAAAAGCCTAATGAAATTATACACTTTCTACCCCGACCTCTCATAAGTCTGCACAGGCGCTTTAAAAAACACTTTAATGTGCTTGGCTGGAGTAACAGCCACTTGGTATGGAAAGATAGGTAGTCTCATGTAGAGCAGAGGCTCTATTTGATAGTCACCTATTATATAACTTATTAACAAAATAAAAAATGGAATTATTTTCTTAAAAAATTTAATCAGCCAAAATATTTCATAATAGAGATTCTCTGGAGAAAATTAATAGCATCAGTCTTTTGTAGTCAAAGTTTCGAAACCACTGTAT